TTGCCTCTCGACCCTTATACTGTTATATACTTCTATAATTTACTAAAGAAAACGTAAAAAGCTGTCATCTTGTTTTTGCGTAAAATCTTGGAACGGAATTAATATGAAATTGAAGCACAGACATATGCAAAATGCAAAATCCGCTTTAAACTTACTATATCACAAGAATGGCCTTAGAGCACTTAACTATGATTATTCAGCAAGTTCTCGACAGTGTTTCTTTTACTATTTTCCTCCTACATTCCTTCCTTGCACTTCATTTGATGCTTACGTCCCCTTTAAGACTAGAATTGAGAGCCCCTTCTGGCGTTTCCGAACGGGGATTTATTGAGACAGATTATGCCATTATACGCGAATCATGTCGATATGCGGATTAATGGAGGAATGGAAAATGCCGATGGCACATGTAGATATCTTGGAATGACAAAGCACTGCATCTGCTCGCATACGCGAAGCCTCAGAAAAGTATATAAATTAGAAATTTTTATTCGCATTAATTTATAAAAAACAGCACCTTTGCATCTGTAGTTTTGAAAAGTCTTTGTACAGTTCGAAATCAGAAGTAAAAAAGCTAAAGCAGGCTAGCAGACTGCCTGCGGAGTCGCCTTTGATGAGATATTTATGGTCTTCTCATCTTTGATGTAGATTTTTGCTTTCTCGGCAGGAGGAAAGCAGATCCCTTGAAGGGGAAAGTTTGTCTTGATACTGGCAGTTTCAAGACGTCTTGTTCCATTGATGAACGCCTGCAAAGCTAAGTTTTATAGAGCCTTTAGAGAAAAAGCTGTTTTACGCACTTTAATGAATGACCGTAATCCATCTACAGTAATCGAAGTGGGGACGGCGATTTGAAATGTAGAAGCGGAGAGTTCGCTCAACATAGCGTCATCTAGCGAGAGAGGAACATCATTACTCTGTTCGTCCACCAATTCAGAAACACTGAAGAATCGTCGAGAGACGATGAAACGGCACATCTCCGGTCCGAAATGCTCCTCGGTGCAGCCGCGAACCATTCGGAAAACGAGATCGGTCGGAGCGACATCGCGAACAAATTGAAGAAGAGCGGAAGGAGTGACTGAGGCTAACGAGGTCAGTTCGAATGACAGAAGACGAACCCGACACTGCGCTCTGTGCAGGGTTTTGGCAATTTCGGACAACGCGTTGTCGGAGAGTTCCATCTGCAAGAAGAAATGTTTGAAATAAATAGGGATTTAACGATGGTTTGTTCAACAGTCTTGGGTGGAAGACCCTCTACAAGGCGCATTCTCACCGTGCATGAAGCCGATTGCCTCTTGCGCCAGATCTTTCTCTTTTCTACCTATACATTTCCAAAACAGTTTATCTATCCATTGTAAATAATAAAACTGCATAGAATCCTACAAATAACTTCGCCAATAGTCAACAAACTGAACTGCTCAAACTACCATCTTTCTTGTGAAAATTTCATCACTGAATTAGTCATCCAATATTTGGACTTGCTCTCACATTAACCCTATCAGGAAAAGCACCTTCAGGTTTTCCTCTAAAGACAAGTAGTGGTCAAAATGATTAGTTTGTCTGTTATCTTTTCCATATACACATTTCATACTAAAAAAACTAATCATATTTTCATGAGTGACTTTATAAAGGTCCCCTTATGACTTACGCACGGCTCACCCTAATCACATATGAGCAGCCTTATACTCGGGTAAATGGGGCAATTAAAGTTGTGGTTGTATGTGAATGTATAAATTATGCGCTCCGTATTAAACCAATAATTCGTTTTCTCTAAAGAATGTATCTTGTCACACAAATTGCGTCTTTCTAAGATCGGCGATTCCAAAATTTGAAACAAAGAAGAGCTTCCCTTCAAGGGCTTCTCTGCATATAGCAAATGAGACTCATCCTCTGTCCTTTAGCTCAATTGTACGGAGCAGTCCTGTTTTTGCAGGCAAGTGAGAAAAAATTATTGAAGACAAATAGTTAATTATCTAGGAAATTCAAATAAGAGAACTTCTTTGGTAATTTAAGCAAAAGATCGCCTACGTTTCTTCTAAAAAGCAACGTAATACTAGAAAAAAACGAAAACGCAAAAACTAATCTCATTCATAATGGAGATTCTAGAATTTTTATGATCTGTACTTTAAACTAAATTAACTTATCGGGCACAGAGGTACTACACAGAAAGTAGTTTACTTTTGCCACAATAACCTATGCAAAAACTATACGTTTGCATCCATACAAAAATGTAATTTTTGTTATTATGAAGTGATATTGTAGCTTATGCCATAAACAATCAAAATGTGAGATAATCAAGAGAACTAAAAGTAGCACTATTATTATGAACTGAAAAGACCATATTCTGCTCATTTATACTTTTAACAGTAACCTATGCGGGCATTTATGCACATTCAGTCCCTAAATTGGATCTCCCTTTGAACTGCAGTGCGGAGATGATTTCACACCATATCTACTAATTATCTATTTTGTATAAAAGGAATGTAATCAAGCTCATAAGAAGATCTAAACTGTTTAAATCTTTCCTAATTCTATTACAAACAAAAAATCAAAACAAAAACAACATCGTTCTAGCATGGATCT